CACTCTTCCTGGATGATACCCTTGATATCCTCCCACAACTCATCTGGCCTTCGCTCATTAGTGTACAAAGCCTCAAACCTGTTCCTGAGATGGTTCTGAAATTCAGGTGGGATAAGCTTCTTCTCAATTTCAAGGTATGACCCCTCCCTGGGGTGGTTTACAGATTGACAAACCCTTCTTGGCCTGTAACAAACACTTCATTTGCACAGTGTATAACCATTGTATAACCTTTTCATGAGTGCAAGGCACACATCTTTCACAAGGTTGGCTTCACCCCAGGACCAGAAAAAAGTGTCAAATAGAAGTTGTTTATAGTTTACTCAGGAAATGCTAATTAACCTTGACAAAATAATCAAACATTGGATGAGGGGAGAACTAGAAAGAAAATCTCTTAAATTATTATTCTAAGGACAAAGACAAGTGGCCATGTGAAGGAAATAATTTTACCACAAGATCGTGTATCATTGCTTTCTACTTTTTGTTTTAACCTAACTCAATTTCACACTTGCTGTCATTATCAATTACTCTGAGAGCTCAGATTTTCATTTAGTTATCTCAAAGATACATTATTTTGACTCTTTGCCTGTACTTTTCCTCTCACATAAGTAGTTAATTTAACCACCATCCAATGACTTTCAAATACATTTGTCTAACTTGGATTGACCATGTGTTTTTTTCCTTCCAGATGGAGACTTCTTTACTTACACAAGACGTGAGCCTATTGGTGTATGTGGCCAAATTATTCCTGTAAGTTGTTCTCCTGTATAATTTTTTATATTAGTAATACAATTCTAACTTCACCAACATAAATAGATGTTTATGTATTTGCTAAATGTAAACAATAAGAAATACTGGAATTGAATCACCCTGGGACATAACTTTTTTTAACATGAAGTTGTATTTCATATAGACCTCCATCTATATCTTAACATATTGCTGCTACAAAATTTTCCAATACTACAGAACTGGCCAATCTTAAATATTTCTCCCATAAATTCTTTGAAAAACAAGTCATATTACATATTCTTTGAAGATTCATGTTTTACAAAACCAAATGGTCATCACTAGCCCATCTGCTGTAAGACACCCCAGTAGGGTAATATTTCTGATCCTGCAGGAGTGGCACCCACTTCCTAAAGAGCATGGTCCTGGAAACTCTGTGAATCTTGATTAATGGCAATGGTTTTAGAAGGGCCTCAGGCCTTTTGTTCATAGGGTCACCCTGAGTCGTGCTCGACTCGATGACAATCAACAACTACTCTCTAACACATTTTATTCCCTTCTTGGAAGATTTCACCATGGAGAATAGTAGCAACAAGATTGCTCAAATACTAAAAGAAATTCTTTTTTTAATTTAAAATTCAAATACTACCAGAGGCATTTTGATATTTGAAAGAACACATTTAATCTTTAGAAGTGCTAATACTCTAAATGAGAAAAAAATTTAAAAAAATGCCAAATGGAGTGACAGCCAAGAGTCCTACAGTTAGTTCTTGGCTAAGTAAATTACAATAACAAAGCCTTTCCTTTGCTGAAATAGAAACATACACATATCAACATTTTGAATGAACCATTAGCTAAAAAATGTCTATAAAAATAGCTAATACTGAATGGATGAGAGTGTAAAGTTGTCATTCAGTCGGCGGTTACTGTAGTAAGCAGTTGCTCTACTTTTTCAATTCACAAGACAACTTTGTGAGGTGTGAATGACCGTTCTTGGCACCTTCAGTGTGACGAGGCATAGAGAGCAAATAACTTATCTGAATTCACACAGCTGGTCTGATTGACTTAATCTTGGAGGTTTTTTGCTTTTATTAACATATTTATCATATAAATAAAATGTATTTAATAATAGGTAAAAATTACAGTAAATAAATGAATGAGTGAAAGGATTGACTTTCTGAACATATAATTTATAATTTATTTACTAGTAAGAGTTAACTTCCTAGCCTTGAAGTCATATTTTTCATAGTAGAAGAACTCTAAATAATACAGCAGTTGATTAAATTACATGCCTTTTTTTGTTCTTTCTTCATACCCAATCTAGTTAGTGCTTTTTAGCATTCCTAAATTGCTCTGAATAATGAATTTCAGTGGAGTATGCTAGACTGGTCCCAAAACTACAATTACTATTTAACTACAAGACAAGTATAACAACAAGATTGTATTAGCAAATGTGCCTTTCAACAATCCCAAGACTCTGTTGTTCAATGTTGCTTTCTAGTGGAATTTCCCACTGCTTATGCTTGCTTCGAAGATAGGACCTGCCCTTTGCTGTGGAAACACTGTGGTTATCAAACCAGCAGAGCAAACTCCTCTCACTGCTCTTCATGTGGCATCTTTAATAAAAGAGGTAAGTTTCCTAAGTCAGAATATTTACAAGAACTCAGGAGCCCTGATGGCTTTGGCACTACTGTACATGACATTCACAGGGATGGCTCCTGTCCAGTGGCGCGGATGCCTTTAGACTGACGATTCGCTGGGATTCTTGGCAGTGGGTATGATTCAGGCAAGTCCCCAAAGTTTGAGTTTTCCTCCAGCCTCTTAGGACTATTAAAACAAAAAGCTAGGCTTATCATTCAAGTGAGGGGCTATTCAACACTGAAAAAGGAATTTTGCAATGGGAGAAAAGGAGTGTCTCCTACCACAGTTAACCCTTGAGTTGACTGGGTGGTCTTCTGGTAGGGTGGTTATCATCTTTGGTATAGTAATGAGAGAAAGGAACGAAGAAAACTGGGAAATTCTTCTTGTTGTTGTTGTTCACCCTACTGAGAGGGGCTATGGCAATTGATGAGAAAGCATTTTTTTTTGGCAAATGGAGTCTGTTATACTGGCTGCATATGAGTTAGAGTCAACAGCATCTTCTAGAGAAAAGTGATGTAGAACTTGGGCTGGGAGTTCTGGGCATGCTCTGGTTCGCTTAGACTTTAGATTTAGGCCACAGTTGTCTCTGCAAAACATCTTTGAGGGGAATATATTTTTTTTAAGTACTCTTTTGTGTGCGTGTTCCGTCAAATCAGATCTGACTGGTACAGGAGGAGATTGTCCCTCCTTCCCCGGCAGAGCATCTGGTGGGTTTGAACCGTGCGCCTCTGGGATTGTAATTGCAGTTCCTTGCCACTAGGCCACCAGAGCTCCCCGAGGGGAATACATTTTAAATAAAGAAATAACACTGTAATGCCTAATGCAGGTTGTGCTAAATGTATAGCGTTTTCACACGTGAGTAACTTGTCATGATGCACCTTGTCAAATGCCTTTGCATAGTCAATAAAGCACAAATAGACATTCTTCTAGTATTCCATATGTTCAGCCAGGATCCATGCCTTTTCTAAATCCTGTTTGAACTTCTTATCTATATACTTTTCCAGCCATTTTGAATGATCTTCAGCAGTATTTTGATTGCATGAGATATCAATTGTATTGTCTGATAGTCCCTCCACCCATTATTTTGGATCATCTTTCTTGGGAATAAGAACAAATATGGACCTTTTCCAATCCTTTGGACAGACAGCAGTCTTCCAAATTTCCTGGCATAGACTGGTGAGTGCATCTAGGGCTGCATCTATTAATTGAAACAAGTCAATTGTTATCCCATAGATTCCTGTGGCCTTATTTTTTGCCAGTGCCTTCAATGCAGCTTCTACTTCTTCCTTCATTACCATTGGCTCCTGTTCATATGGTACTTCCTGAAACTTTTCAATGTCAATCATTTCCTTCTGTTACACTGACTCTGTGTATTCCCTGTATCTTCTTTTGATACTTTCTGGATCATTCAATATATTGCCCATAGCATCTTTCAATATTGTGACATAAGGCTTTAATTTGTTTTTCCGTTTTCTTCAGCTTCATAAATGCACAGTGAGTTCTTCCTTTTACAACACACATAATGTCTGATCATCCGTTATTCCACATGTGTTTCCCTTCACCATTTAGTGTTTTTAATTTTACATTGATCTGCATAACTACACTAGAATAACTCTCTCAAAACTTTTCTATAACTTTAGGAAACACTGGTCTGTTTGTTGAAATACATCAATTGGTATGTCGTCAATTCCTGGGGCTTTGTTTTTTGCTCATTTTTTCAGAGCTTGAATTTCTTCCTTCATCACCACAGGCTCTTGCTCATATGTTGTTTCATGAAATTCTTCTGTGTCAGCCTTTGGTACAGTGACTCTGTATACTTCCATCTTTTTAATGCTTCCTGGATCATTTAATATTCTGCCCAAAGCACCCTTAAGTATTTCAAATCGAGGCTTGAATTTGTTCCTTCAGCTTAAGAAATGTTGAGCAAGTTTGACCCTTTTGATTTTCTGATTCTGGCTCTTATGCATTCATTATAATACTTTACTTTGTCTTTCCACTCTGCTCTTTTAAATCCTCTGTTTAGCTCCTTAATAGTACTAGCAGTCAGGAAATAAAAAAGACGTATTGGGAAAATATGCAGTCAAAGACCTTTCCAGAGTGTTGAAAAGCAACAGTGTCAGTCTGGAGACTAAGGTGTGCCTGATCCAGACCATAGTCTTTACAATTACTTGCTATGCATCAGAAAGCTGGACTATGACTAGGGATGATAGAAGGACAATTCATGCCTTTCAACTGTGGTACTGGAGAAGATTATTGGACTGCTAGAACAAACAAGCTCTTACTAGAGAAACTGAAACCAGGCTGTTCCTTGAGGTAAGGATTCTGAAGCTTTATCTTACATATTTTGTCCGTGTTGCAAGAAGGGACCAATCCTTGGAAAGGGACATCATGCTTGGAAGGGTGGAAGGACAGTGCAAGAGAAGAAGACCCTCAAAGAGATGGGTTGATTCAGTGACTGGAATAATGAAGGTAGATGTGTCAGACAATAAAAATTGACTAGATGGCACATAACAACAGAAACATAATAGAATCTGAGGAAATATATAGAATATGTCGTGATGATAAGGATGGCACAGGATAGGACAGGGTTCAAATCTGCCGTTCTCTTCTTGACAGCACTTAACAGAAACAACATAATACAGAATCCCTGGAGGCAGGCTGATCTGGTTGATATTCACAGCTTTGGAAACACATTGGAGTCACAATGAATAGGAATCAACACAATGACCATGGTTTTGATATTTTGATTTGATTCACACAATGTTTCAGCACTCACCTGCAAACCCAAAAGGCCAGGGGTTCCAGTCCACATGTGGTTCTGTGGTGGATAGACTGATACTTGCTCCCATAAAGATTATCGCACAGGAAATTCTATAAGGAAGTTCTACTCTTTTCTATAAGTTAGTGATGAGTTAAAATTCACTCAATAACACACACTGACATGTAATAAGATGGTTATCATTACAGAAATAGTGCTTAAAACAAATTAAGATTTATTTTGAAGAAAAACCCCTCCTTGATAATAAAATATGTGTGATTATTTCATGTAGGCAAAATGAAATAATATTTATAGCAAATAATAAAATGCCATTAAGGATTTTCATTAATATGGGTACATGTTCTGACATATTCTGGCGTGGGAGGCAAAAAGTTGGCGGTTTGAACCCACCAACCACTCTGGAAGATGCAGTGCGTGGTACATGCAGGAAGTAAGCCCTTGGTAAAGATCTAAAGCCTTAGAATGGGGCAGTTTTGAAGGAAAATTTACAAGATTACAATAAAGGGACTTTAGTCTCATGGTCTCCTCTTCGTTCACAGAATTAAATTATCTGTTTGAATGTAACTTTCAGTTTTATACCTTTTAGGCAGGGTTTCCCCCAGGAGTGGTGAATATTGTGCCTGGTTATGGACCCACCGCAGGAGCAGCCATCTCTTCCCACATGGATGTTGACAAAGTGGCGTTCACAGGATCAACAGAGGTGAGACCATTACACAGGTAGTGAGAGTGTCTGCCTCTCCACCTATCATAAGCATGCTTTATGTAACAGTTTTTGAGCTGAGACTTCCTTTAAACAAATGAAATAACTTATTCCATATTCTGGCCTTCAAGTGTGTTTATAGACCATAAGTTAATAGAGTTAGAGTGAGCTTAAATAGTTGTCACAAACTTAGGAGGACCACAATAAGCTGTTCCTAGTGTGTTCATTATTTTCTCTGCCATGTAGGTCTTGGTATATGATTAGTAGGTTTATGACAAAATGTAAATTAGACCACAGGGATTGATTTTTTTAATAAATGAGTATAATTTTATTGCATAGAATATATATATATTAAATAACAGAATCTCACTTTCAGCTCCTTTCTGGGGTTCTCATTTTCTGTACAGTTTGAAAGGGAGTGCGGCTTTCCTAGGTGTTACTGTGAGTCTCAGACTCATTACTCTTTCTGGCCCCAGGTTGATGGAGCAGAGCTTTAAAGAACAAGAACACAGTGATGGGCACTGCATGGAGAGACAGTGGATAGAATGAGAGAAGATTCTGTTTGGGAGAACGAGTTGCTAGCTACTTAGGTTCTTTGCTATACTAAGCAAACAAAAGAGATGCAATCACATTGTTGATACAAGAAATGTTCTTGATTCATTCTACTAAAATTATTACACATCCAGTGCAGGAAATAAATACTGCCTCTTTTTTTAATTCAGTGTAGACATTGAAGAGAATATCCACAACTTAACAGAGGTGTTAGTATAAATTAGACATGCATTAACAGAGTGCTGAGAAGTAGTTCAGGGGATGGAGACTGATCCCTAACCAGGTGCTAAAAGTCACCATGAGTTTGAAAACTTATGCTGCTGGGGATCTCTCCAATGCAGCCTAAATTTATTCTTTGAACAATCCATTTTTATGATGTAATTTACTCTGTAAAATTTTTGGAGAAAATGAAAGCATTACTAGATTAATTAATCCTCTGCATTGCTCATTCACAATCATGTGTGAGCTGGATCTTTGGATTTGCTGGATTTAGCTAGCAATGAGCTGTGGACTGGAAGTCTTGTTTAGAGTTAACTAGGACCTGGTGTGCGGAACAGATTATCCAAGAGGCTGGGTTCTATGAGGAGAAGTGTGGCGTCAGAATTAGTGGAAGATCTATTAACAACCTACGTTATGCAGATGACACAACCCTGCTTGCTGAAACTGAGGAGGACCTGAAGTGCTTGCTGCAGAGGGTCAAGGACGGCAGCCTCCAATATGGATTGAGGCTCAATGTCAAGAAGACAAAGATTCTCACCCCTGGACCAATTGGCAGCATCAGGATGGATGGTGAAGAGATTGAGATTGTACACAGCTTTAGTTTGCTTGGCTCCACAGTCAACAGTCTTGGCACCAGTAGCCAGGAAATTAAAAGGCGCATTGCCATGGGAAAGTCTGCTGTTAGGGACCTCTCCAAAGTACTGAAGAGCAATGGTGTCTCTTTGGAGACTAAGGTGCATCTGATACAGGCCATGGTCTTCGCAATCCCCTGTTATGCATCAGAGAGTTGGGAAATGACTAGGGAGGATAGAAAGAGAACTGATGCCTTTGAGCTGTGGTGCTAGGGAAGAGTATTGAATGTACGATGGACTGCCAAGAGAATAAACAGATTCATCCTGGAGAGGGTTAAATCAGGCTGCTCCTTGGAGGAAAGAATTCTGGGGCTTCATCTGACATACTTTGGACATGTTGTAAGGAGGGACAGGTCCCTGGAGAAGGACATCATGCTTGGGAGGGTAGAGGGATGGCACAAGAGGGGAAGACCCTCTATAAGGTGGATTGATTCAGTGACTGGGGTAATCGGGATGGCTGTGTCAGAGGCAGTGCGATTGGCACAGGACAGAGCAGGGTTTAGGGCTATTGTACATAAGGTTGCTATCAGTCGCAGATGATTCCAAGGCACATAACAACAACAGGACCTGGTGGGCGGACCTTTGTATTTAAAAGCTGTGTGGGCCCTCAAGCCTGGTGTTATTTGTATTTGGGAAAGACATTCTTCCAAGTGGTACAGCAATTTACTGTGGAACTTGGGGTTGCTGTGATGGTGAAGTCTGTGCCTCTGGTGTGTCAAATGCCATAATGGTTATCCATGGTGGACAATATTTGGTGGAGCTCCCAGATTGAGACAAGCTTGGAAGCAGGAGTACATCCACTTCTTAATCAATATGCCTCTGGAAACTATGAATGTTCAGAAATGACAATAGTTATAGATCAGGGTTCAAATCTTCTGTTTATAATGTCACTATGAGTCGTGCTCAGATTGACAGCACTTAACAACAACAACAATTGTATAGTAGAAGGATATTTGGTAGCACAGTGAAGTGCTCACCTGCTGTCCTAAACATTGGAAATTTGAACTCAGCAGCTGCTTTTTTGGGAAGGAAGACATGACAGTTGGCTTTGTTAAAGATTATTATAGCCCTGAAAATCTTTAATGCTTTGTTATTTTTATGCACAAAAACTTCTCAGCAAGCTTCACAGTAGCAGTGATGGTGTCCTGTCAGTACATAGGACAGTTGTACTCTGTCCTAAAAGGTCTCCACAAGGAAGAACCAACACAATGACGTTGTTCATCTTTGTTTTGTAAATGTACAGTCTTAAGTAGTTCAATAACCCCACGAAATTTAAACCTACATTTGGTAAGTATTTGCTTCTTTATACCGAGACTGGACTTTTTTTTATGACACTCAAGAGAGTTTTGATTTCCTATGTTAATAGGTTCCTATGTTCTCCAGCCAGGTCTAATTTTAAACCATCTTGCTGTGCTACCTAAGTTTAAAAAAAAAAAGCCTGCTTAATTTTGTTGCAGCACACAAATTTTATGCAACAGAAATCTGTTTTTGAGCCTTTGAGAGATCCTTGAATTTTACTTTAGTATAAGGCTTTTTTTTAGTTTTGAGTTTTTTTAAAGAGTAAAACAAGCAGAATAAAGTGAATCATCTTAAAAGCAAAAATCATTTCAGTGGATTCAGGTTTCAAAAAACTTAAAGAATAATTAATTCTAAAGCAGACCAACCAAGTTTCAGACTTTTTTTTTTAAAGAGAAAAGCAAACCGGGGGTGGGGGGGGTGGTGGTGGTACAAAGTTGGTCAGTGAGGAAAATGAATACAGCCTTAAAAATTCTCTGAGGCAGTTCTACTCTGTCCTATATAGGGTTACTATGTATCAAATTGACTAGACAAAGACTGATTATATAAATGAGTGCATGAAAACAGAGAAAGAGAAAGGAAATGTCTTAATAAGAGGAATCCACAAAGAGCAAAAATTAGAAAACCAAATGAACCCTGGGAGCAATGTTTCTCTGAGGAGAAGCAACTGTCTTTAAAAGCAGCTAGAAGAGCACAATTCCACCTTAGGTAGGAGCACAGAGCACAGATCCATTTTTTTCCCTACTAATTCTACTGCTCAAAGTTGTAACATGAAAGAGAAGTGTGTCAGTTACGTTGCACTGAGTCTACAGTTGTGGATCCTGCTGAGGAGAAGTAAATAGTGGTAGGACAGACATCATTACTGCCACTGAGGGAGTGACACTCCGTTGAAAAGTTTTTGTGTATACAAATAACACAGTTGGAGACAAGACCTTAATGTAGCTTTCATGAATTATCTACATGAGGTCAGAGAAAGAAATGGTCCTTTCTCACTAAGGGCATCAGTCAAGGCTCATGAAGGAGCTTAAACTACAAGTTAGATCATAAAGAAGTAAGAACCCAGCTCACTCCAGGTTCAAGTAGGAACACAATGAAAAGCACAGAGGTGGGGTTGGGAGAGAGAGCTGGCTGTGAACAGTCTAATTCAGCTGAATAGAGATTTCTAGATTTCAGTATCAGATAAAAAGTAAAAAAATAAATTAAGATCAGTTTTTACTGTATCTTGTCAGTCTCAGAGAAATGAAGGCTCTGTTTAAGATGAGAAATGGTGCCTCCTTATCTAACCTTGCAAATGAAGGTCAGCCATCATGTTTTATACTTCATATGCTTTATACTTGCTCACGAACATTTATTTTTCATTCATGCCTACTCCAACATTCTTCATTTTTGGTGTTACACAGCTTTTCAGTGTTTCTTCTTGGTGAAATTTAATTATGGCACACATAACATATACAGTTAGGACACTAAATGAACCTATCTTAAAAAAATAAGATTAAGACTCTTATTATGCTGCTCTTCAGGTTGGCAAATTGATCCAAGAGGCTGCTGGGAAGAGCAATCTGAAGAGGGTGACCCTGGAGCTGGGCGGAAAGAGCCCCTGCATTGTGTTTGCGGACGCGGACTGTAAGTACAGGCTGCTGGGCCAGCTTGTCACCTGTCATCTTGCTTGGTTTCAATAATGCCATACAGTCAGCTTGAATTTTACAAAAGAATTTGCTTTGAACATCAAAGCACAAGGCAGTAATCCAGTGATGCCATCTGAGAGGGACTATAAAATGATCTTTAGCAAAGTTTCATGGGAGGTCAGAGGAAGAGAAGGGGTTTTTTCTCTCTGAGGTCACCAGGGAAAAGTTCACAGAAGACCTCAAATATAAGTTAGCAATCAGTAATAAGAGTTCAAAATTACTCTTTAAAAATCTCATAAATTTTACTAAGTTTATAACTTGTAGGTAGGTCTAGCACATATACTGTTTCTTCCCGGTTTGCAATACATTACTATTTACCTTAGTAAAAACTTACATAAAGGGTTTATGTGCAACAACTGTATTAGTTTTCTAGAGCTGTCTTATCAAAGTTCTGCAAATAGCGTGCATGAAACAATAGAAATGAATTCTCATAGCTCTGGAGGCTAAAATTAGGAAATCCATGAGTGTGAGACCCTCCCAAAGCGGGGGACCCTTCCTTGCCTTTTCCCTGTGCCTGTGTCTTTTCTCCTTTTTTTCAAAAGGACACAAGTCAGTGTCAGTCAAGATCCACCATTTGTTGTTGCTATTGTGTGCCATCAAGTCAGAATCAACACATAGCTGACACTCCAGCGGGTTTTCAGAGGCAGTAAATTGCAAAGGAGGAGATTCCCCATCTTCTGGGGAGCAGATGGTGGATTAAAAATGTATGCCTTTGTGAATGCAGTGCAGCTTCTTACCACCTCATCTCAACTTTATCACATCTACATAGACTATGCTTCCAAATAAGGCCTTATTCATAAATAGTGCCAATTAGGATGTCAATGCAGCTTTTAGGGGCAGAAAATTTAACCTTTAACAGGCACCACGAATTTTTTAAAAAATTTCTTTAGTTTGCATAATAGCATGTATTGTTATATATGAATTATATATTAATTTTAAAAATTAGGTATGTGCTCATCCTCAAACATATTCAACTGCTGCAACTGTGGAGACAGTCATTTCATATTTATCATCTCCCTTCAATCTGGGTGATGAACTCATTGAACGAAAGGCCAAATGAAGATAACTGTTTAAATAATTTTTCTCCTTTTCTTTTTTCCCTACCAAGTATAATTAATTTTAAATTTAAAATTATTATGTGATCTAAGTATACAATTATATTCTAAGCTTATTCTGATTTTATTCTGAAGTAAAATCCTAAAATTTCTTTGTTAAATGAGAACAAATAGCAGGAGTGTCAGAAATCAATAGCAAAAAACATTCATCTAGCTCATGCTAATTTGTTAGCATGAGGTTTTAAGAACAAGCCGTTCATGGAATTTTGTATATTGCTATTGTGATCATAATTGAAAACTTCTCTAGAAAATATTATTTTTATTCTACAAAAATGACAAGATTTCTGATTTTAGCAAATTCCTGTGAACTGTTTTCTGCTACTATATAACTAGATGTAAGTAGTTCACAAAATAAAGAAAATCAGCCTGGGGATCTAATGTTCTATTAAATAATCAACATTTATAGAATAAAAATAAAAGTATTTTCTTCCTGTGTAAGATCCAATAAAGCAGTCTCAATTTTTCTTTTTAGGAAAAAAAAAATCACTATCTAAAAAAAGTGCCTAAGAGGTTTGTATAGCTATAAAAATAATATTGTATTTTGAGTGTTTAGTTAAAATCTATATTTGTAGTTTCTAAAATGTAATCTACATACTGCTTTCTTGTTGCGAAGCCAAAGGGGAAAAAATGTCAAGGCATCCCTATAAAACAAATGTTTTTTTAAATATTTTCTAAAAATAGACATTTTACAATTGTCGCACCTCAACAAAGGTGGCAATGTAACAAATACACTGGTTTATTTTGTTTTCCACACCATTAGATGAATGTCCACAAGCTACCTGCTGTAAGCTCTCTCTTTCTGGGTTTGGAATTCTCCAGCGCTCTGTCCATTGTTTTCTCATTTCCCCTCAACATTGATTAGGACAGCAGTGCCCGTCGCTGCTCTTTGGTTTAGAAGTAAGTCCCTCATAGGAGAAATGAAACCACTTGTCACTCAGCCTAGGATTTCTCTACAAGAGACCTGTTTGTGTAGACAGTATGTTGGTTCATTTTTATATTGGTTCATATCATTTTTAGACAGATTTTTGACAGTCTTTCTGAAAATAAAGTTGTAAGATAGGGGACAGATGGTAAGTATTAGATTTTTTTCCCCCCTCCTATGTCATTTGACTAAGTAAAAAATGTTATAAATGATTTAATGTAATAGATCTTTCAGATCTTCTTTTCTGCCTAATTAAAAGCTAAGGCTAGAAAAATGTGTCCTCTCACAAGACTGCTTATAAATGTGTTTATAAAGAGAATTTATGTGGCAAGAAGCTGCACTGCAATCCCAGAGGAACACGGTTCGAATCCACCAGATGCTCTGCCGGAGAAGGAGGCGCAATATCCTCCTGTACCAGTCAGATCTGATTTGACGG